GCCCCATCACACAACAACATCTGCCTATCCCAGATCCTTGGGAAGGACGCGATAGGTGGACAAAAATGCCAAATCCAGTCTAAACACCTGGCTGACCGTGCAACCAACTGTAATATATTTTTATTATTAATTACTATATCAATATAATATTAATTCAGCTAATGTCACATTCCAGCATCCTGGCTTCATTTGCCAAGAGAGAGAGGGAGGTCCAATTATTAATAACAAGATATTCTTTTTCACTTTGCACCTCTAGTAACAGAAGGATTATTTGGACTGTTAGGGTGTTTTAATTTTTCCAGGCTTTTTCAAGCTTAAAAACTTGAAAAGCATTTTAAGCGATAAAGGAACAGGTACTAAGCTATAGGAATCAGAGGCAAAGCAGAAGTGTTCTTTCTCACTGGGTGGTATCAAAAAGGTTGCTAATTACAAGGCATTGATTGACTGTCTGCATGTACAATGCCGTCAATTCTTCTAGGAGGTCTGAATATCTATGGTTTCTGTTTTCATCTCCGCTAAGAGAATGGTTACCACGATCTTTGAAACAAGCCAGGACACTTGAACAACCTTCAAACCATGATCTAATCTAATTTTTTCCAAAGCTGATCATTATAGTTCTGTTGGAAAAATCAGACACTTCCTGATTTTAATTGCAGTTCGCACAAATGGAGAAGTGAAGTGGCTACATGAGGAGAGAAAAGGCATTCTCAGCGTAACTTATGATTTTATGAAGTGAGCCAATCATCTATGCCTAAATTGCACCATGAATAACAAAATATTCTAGCTTTTATACAATTTTTCAGACATAAAAAGCCAGCTGTAGAAGGAACTGTTTCCCTGAAAACAGACAGGAGAGGACAACCCACCTGCAATTCATCTTTTTGTTCTGCTGACAGATATTATTCTTAGGGCAAAGTTGATGCCAGTGATCTTCCTGCCTAATGTAAGGAAGGAAATATATTAGTACTATAAAAAGGCAAAACATTGCCATATATAAATTGGAAATTCAACCCAATGTTAGATTGTCTATCTTTTGCCAAATTTTGGCACAACTTAAGTGCCTGACTTTTGAAAGGGGGGTGATTTTTATCATTTATTTTAAAATGTATTAACCTTCTTTCCAAAGTTCAAGCCAATATATAGACAACTTCAATATTCTATTTAAAGTACTCACTCTCTGCCTTTTTCATTTGGTTTATTTCTGTGAGGAGCATTTTTATTCTTTATTTTAAAAAAGCACGTTCTCTTCAAAGCTTAGGATGCAGTGCTAACAGCAACACAACATGATGAACAATGAAAGAGAAGAGAATGGGATAAAGAGTTTCTTTATCCTAATCCATTCAGAAATGACAAAAAGATACACTTCTTCATGCGGATTTGGTTCCAGATTTAATATTGAGTAGATTCAATCAAATATAGAGGGCTTTAATTAATTAAGAAATATTTATTTATTTCAAGCAGCCCAAGATTTAAGTATTCCTAAATCAAAATCTAACACACAACCTATTATCAACGTAGAGAAATTTACTGTGATGATGGCCTCTACTTCAAAGTTTTTTAAAATAATCCACTGTATGCATAGAATATAGCTCTATTAGAAGCTATTGTCCATGGTAACTCTATGGTAGTTCTATGTTTAAAGGCAGATTATTTATAAATATGAAGTATTAAACAAGAAAGCTACTATCTTTATATGCTTCTTGGGAGCACTGATGCTGGAAACACAATTATATACTAAAAAGAGTCTTTTTTGAGCCAAAAATCATATCATGCTTAGCTAAATAAAACATAAATTGCCAGGTATGGAGCTGTCCAAATATTTTATAACTACTTTATATGCCAGTTTCTTTCAGCTGTTTGAATGTGCTATCCAGATTGTATTAGGAACTCTCAGCCATATGCTTGGTTCACACTTCACTTTAGCCATGGCTTAACCATGACTTGTGGAATAAAACACATTTGACTGGATTCACACATCATGCTGAGCCAAAGCCAGTATTTGCAATCTACCATTGCTGGGGTCATATAAGAAGATAAAATCAAAACGAAACAAAATACATTATAGCTGAGATATGACTTGAGTAATAGTCTGCTGGGTTCCAAATTATGATTGCTTTTTTAAATTAAGGAATTAGTTCCATTGAATACAGTGAGGATTTGATTTCGAAGTAGTATGCATAGACCATGTTGTTACAGTCCATGCCACTGTACCATATTTAGTGCAAAACTTACTTTCAAATAAGCATGTGAAGCCATAATTCAATATGTAGATTTGATCACTGTTGGCAAGCTAAATGAGAAATATATTCATGCAGATGGAGTTTTGTCTGCCATGAAGCATGAAACTGCACAGATAGTATTCTAACAGCTAGTTGTATTTCAGCTTAATAAAAATAATATTGAGTACAGAGAACATATAGTAACTCTAATTTTGGATTTGATAAATTTGAAATATTCATTTTGTTGACAACAACACACATGATAATGAATGCCAAGTAGCAGAATTATTATTATTGTTATTATTATATTTTTGAAGATTGACAACAACTGAGGGGGCCTGGGGACTATTCTGTGCCCATTCAAACTAAATATGCTCCTGAAAACCAGATGCATTTAGTAGGGTCTCATTATTTACAAATCCCTAGTTTAATTCTGGAATCTGTAAATTTGTTAACAGATATATAAAATCACATGTACATTAACCAGGAAACCTTTGAAATACTTTGTGGCATATTTTGTATACATGTCATTAGGTGTATTGTGGTCATTCAGTGTTTTTAAACTAAGGAGAACCCATTACCATTCAAGAGGGAATGTTGTTAAGGTTCTGTTTCTCCCTCAACAAACTTTTGAAAAGAGAAAACGCTCGTTTGGAAACAGGATAGCAAGTGAGAGACCCATCTGACCCTTACAAGGGTTGAATAACAGATCGCGAGAGGGAAGTTATTCTCTTTTCATTAGAAAGAAAATTCCAACTATCAGTACCTTTGGCCCTACAAACATGAATGGAAGCATTTTTTAATCTCTGGTGTCAGTGGGGAACTAAGAATTTAAAGCATCAGGGGTTGTTAGGTATTTAGGTATTATGTTATGAAGTAGGCATACCATATCTGGGTCCAAAATTCTGGTTGACCATAAGATACCAGCGAGGAGATTGCTGGCCTCTAACAGTCCTCCAGATTTTTGCAGCCTAGATCAGGTAACACAAATGTTAAGGCCCCTTGAGAAGCATCTTTTGATTGAAAGGCAAGATACGGAAAGAGCTAGAGTAGTCACAGATAAAGTCAGACCTACTAAAAAATAGATTAGAAACCTACAGATTTCTTCTCTAAGCATGCTCAAGTAGGATCCGGTCATAAATACATAGCAGGTCTCTCTCACTGTGTGACCCCTGTCATTATCAAGCATCCTGCAACCCAATTCTTGCTTCTCTTCCCACTACAGCTTCCAGCCAACCTGCTGCTTCCTCCCTTTTTAATCATTAGATATCAGAATATTTGTCCAAGCTACAGTGGTGGAAGTAATTTATTCAACTTATTTCTAAACAACTGGAAAAGGGCTGTATGTTAGCATATGACCAGATATGTAACATTTTAATTTATATTTCCACCTAACCCATGCATTAAAAAGATGTCTGAAAAATATTGGTGCAATATTATCAATACATTGAATGAGAAAATAAATTCCAACATTATGTTGGAACAATCTTGATAACAGGTTATATCACCTGAATCTTGATCCCAGTATGTTTATTCCAAAGCAAACCTGCTGAATTAGCACTGCAGCTTTAAATTCAAAAGAGCATTTCCACCCATCCTTATTTTATTCAGTTTTTTAAAACTTCAAACTTGAGAGTGTGAGAGAGAATTGGGGATGAAAGACTGGCAAAAATGAATGCATCATATTACAAATTAATAAAGGCATAAATAAATGCATATCTTGGTTTAGAAGAACATTCTCCCTAGGCATTCTTATAAATTATACAAGAATTATGAACTTGATTCTTACGTTCTGTGTAAAAAACTTCTTTTTGCATAAACTTGCCTAGCAATTAAAATTTCTTAAAACGCTGCTACAGATCGCAAGAAATGACAATCTCAGTTGTGGCCTCTGGTTTCACAAACTCTTTCCCACAGAGAGAAGTCTCCACAGTTTGATTTCTAAAAAGCTAAAACTACGCTGCGTTTGCCCATCATTTTATTGTCTACTGTCCAACCTTGTTTCCAATATTTCAATAATTTTTCTTCATGTATCGTAGCAAAAAAAATCTCATCAAAGAAGCCAATTTGTTATTATTATTTGCTTTACTTAATGTAGCCCTAATACTCATACGGATCATGAATGAATGTGGCAATTTGAATAATTCTCATTTGCATAGCAAATGCCACTTCAAAAATATTCCGAAAAATCCCCACTTTTTGCTACACGGCACCTTTGTCCTTTTCAGCATAAACTGTATTCATCCAGGATTTTCCATGTTTGCTTAAATATTGCACCATCCACAAGTCTAAAACGTGACTAACCCGCTATTCTTTTTATAGCATTTTATTCATTTTTATGGCTCAGGTAAAGAATTAACTGGGGCAAGCGACTGTTGGAGGTAGGCATTTGTATTTCTAAAAAAATATAAAATTTCACTACAATAAGAGCCAAAACCTCATAGCCTCCAAACATAAAACTACACATAACACCAGGCGGACTGTAGAATTATTTATACCTCTGTTTTATAATATAATCTATTGGGCTGTCATAACCGATGAAGGCACCGGTTAGGCTTTTCATCTTGAGAGGCCATCTATTATCCTAATAGCGAAATCTAGCTATCATAATTCATCCTACTTCTATTTTTTTTCCCCAGGCTTTTTTTGTAGTCATATTTTAATCCTATTCTTATATATTTAATTCATATAACAGTTTAGATTAGAACGACCGCTGGGCTTATATGGGGCCTTTGTTTTACATTTTATTGGGTTTCATTAGTTATCTTTTAACGTGAATTCTATTATTACTTTTTTGGTGTATTTGTTATCAACCATACAAAGAGCACAGGTTACTGGGCAGTTTAATTAA